AGTCGATGTGGCTGACCCAAATACAGCGCCCAGCAGGGCAGGCACGGCCCCCTGAGCCAGCTGCCAGGGCCACTCTCAGCCTCGTGCAGCTCATGGGCACGGCAGGACTCCTACGAGCAGCCTGGAGCATCCAGAGGCACGGCATGCCCGGCAGAAAATTCTGTCCTCCCACTCAGCTTCCTTCCCAGGGGCAGCACTGGCAGAGAAGAGCCCTGGAAGTGCAAATTTGGCTTGGGCCAAGAGCCCTGGAGGGGAAATGCCATGGCCAAAATTTCTGGAGGAGCTAATTTAGCTTGGGCCAAGAGCAAATTTCTCTTGGGCCAAAAGCCCTGGAGAAGCAATGCCTTGGCCAAAAGCTCTGGAGGGGAAAATTTCTCTTGGGCCAAAAGCCCTGGAGGAGCAATGCCTTGGCCAAAAGCCCTGGAGAGGCAAATTTGGCTTGGGCCAAGAGCAAATTTGGCTTGGGCCAAGAGCCCTGGAGGAGCAAATCTGGCTCCAGCCAAAAGCCCTGGAGGAGCACTGCCATGGCCAAAAGCCTTGGAGGAGCAAACTTGGCTTGGGCCAGGAGTAAATTTGGCTTGGGTCAAAAGCCCTGGAGGGGCAAATTTGGCTCGGGCCGAAAGCCCTCGAGGGGCAAATTCGGCTTGGGTCAAGAGCAAGTTTGGCTCAGACCAAAAGCCCTGGAGGGGAAAATTTGGCTTGGATCAAAAGTCCTGGAGGAGCAAAACTGGCTTCGGCCAAAAGCCCTGGAGGAGCAATGCCATGGCCAAAAGCCCTGGAGGAGCAAATTTGGCTTGGGCCAAAAGCCCTAAAGGGGAAAATTTGGCTTGGGCCAAGAGCAAATTTGGCTTGGGCCAAAAGCCCTGGAGGTGCAAATTTGTCTTGGGCCAAAAGCCCTGGAGGTGCAAATTTGGGTTGAGCCAAAAGTCCTGGAGGAGCAAATTTGGCTCAGACCAAAAGCCCTGGAGGAGCAGTGCCTTGGCCAAAAGCTCTGGAGGAGAAAATTTGGCTTGGGTCAAGAACAAGTTTGGCTTGGGCAAAAAGCCCTGGAGGAGCAGTGCCATGGCCAAGGGATGCTGGCACAGATCCGTTTGAGTCCCACATGGATCAGTTATCCCAGGGAGGGTTTTCTGCTGGTGTGGGATAATGGGACCTACCTGTGGTCGGTGTTGGTGGTGCTGGTGGGAGTTTCAGTGTGAGGTGGCAGCAGCTGGAGCGTGGTGGTCACCTCCCTGTCCTGTGGGAGAGCACAAGGGACATCAGGATACCCCAGCATGGACCACACCAGCCAGCCCAGCTGCAGCCTCCTGGAAAAATGCCCAGGATCTACATGGCTGGGGAAATCCATCCCAAACCCACCTCCCAGTGGTTCCACTGCTCTTTGTCCATTTTGGAGCAGCTGGGAGCTGCCAGAGGTTTTTGCACCCTGGGGCATTGGGGAACACAGGCAGGTGGCTCCAGTGTGGAGGGATGAGGATGACACCCCCAACTCCCTGCTCTCCTGTCAGAAGCCATGCAGGCTGCTGGAGCATTCCCTAGAAGATTTTCCCTCACGGATGGAGCAGGAAAGCTGTCTTTGCCAAAAAAGGTGGGAATTTACAGCCTCTCCAGAAGATCCCAGGAGTTTTCCCTCACAGGATAACTTCTGTCAGCACTCAGACACCCACAGCACACCCTCCCCATGCCCCAGCACGAGCACATCCCCTCACATCCCATACCTGGGCTGCTCAATCCCGGGAGACGCGCGCAGAGCGAGGCGGGCGCTGATGGACGAGCAGGAAAATCAGGGTTATTCCTGCTCCTTCTTCCCCTCCTTGCTCATTCTCTACGCCAGCTGCCCAATTATTTGCCAGGCCAGCTCTGCCCCGCGGTGCCTTTCTGCAGTGGAATGGAAGGAAGCCTGAAAATCAGAGCTGCCTCCAACGGCGCTGAGATGCCGAGGAAAACCACGGCAAGGACAAGGCTCTGGGATCATCAGGATAGATAAAAATGGGCTTTGGGCTGATGTTGGCTGCTTCAAGGTGTCCTGGGGGGTGGCTCCAGCTTTTTTGGGGTGGTTTGGGCTTTGGGGAATGCCTGCCTTCCTGAATCCCTGCACAAAATCCTTCCCAGATGCTGCTGGGTGCTGAGCAGAGGTGACCTCAGTTCAAACCCCACTCCTTGAAGGAGTGTTTCTATTTCCAAAGAGCTTGGGTAGGCAGGAAAACTGAAAAATAGGGGGGAAATAATCAGCTCCTGCCCCAAAAGCAGCATGTCAGCCTGGATTCAGCAAAAAACAATGCAATGACTGCAAAGCAACAGCTTTGAAGCAAAAGTGCTACAGGGTGTTGTTATTTTCCTGGCATCGGCTCTACAATATCCTCAGCCACAGACAAGGGAGCTCCCAGGGCAGGTTTTGTTTTATCCCAGCTTTTACCATCCCCTGCCCTCCTCTTCCTCCCCCAGCACCCTCCTCCTGCAGGGATGTAGGTGCTGCCACGTTTCCCAAAGCATCTCAGCTGAAAAAAGCTGAAGTCTGTCCAAATTTATCTCAGCCTGACAGAACAGTGAATATTTAGT